TTTGAGATCGCATTCGAGTTTTGTTTTCTTGATTGTAAATCTGCCATTTTTGCATCCTAATTTTAATAAAATAATTACTACAAGAGGTAATTTGACATCGGGAAAACAACCATTAAAATTTCAGCGTGTATATTGGATCAATCTGTGTGTATATCCTTTCAAATAAAAAAATCTAAATCGGTTTAGAAATTTTAGAATGCTGAGGTAAAAAACATTTTAAAAAAATACACCGAATTGAAAACCTCCTCCTGTTTTGAAGTCGGTTGAAATTAAATATTACACGATGTGCTTATTGTATTCGAGCAAATTAATTGTGTTTAATAATATTCTTAAATTTTATTACGTCTGTATTTTTGTACCATTAAAATATGTATAATTAAGTTATATTAGTACCATCATTATGGTGTTTATTTTATTCCATTTTATATTCTCATAAAATATATCTTCGTACGTAATACGTAATCTTTATTATATCGATTTTTTTAAAATTAATCAAAAAATAGTGATTTGCACAATTTGATTGCAAATGCCAGACACTGGTATCACTGAATGGCGTGTATGTGTGCGTGTGACGAGCGTAGGCACATTCGACTCGCGCCCACTAACATAATGACTTTGCATCATTTTAACGCTCGTGTTTTGTACTGGACTGCGTTTCTATGCGTAATAATTCTATGTACGGAATTCATTTCAATAGGTACATAACTGAATACATCAGAATAATAAACATACCTACACGATGGCTAAAAAAGCATGAGTAACCTTGTTAACATTTCATTTAAATAATTTTTTTATTAGCGGGGAATCGAACCAGCTATTTGGTTTATTTAAACTGTGAATAAAGTGGCTAGGTGGAGACAAGCACAGTGGCAAAATAGTAGAAAAATTAGGTATTTAGCCAAGTGTTGTAAATTGTTAGGTATTGTAGTATCATCGGTAGCTGCGGGCTGCGCGAATTCGGCATCCGGGCGTACATTGACCCCTAGTCAGCTGATTGTAATTCCACTGCTGGTTTTATGTTTAAGTATTTTCATGATTTTTTATAAAATTATCGTTTCATTTAGCTGTACTAACATGATGAAGCGTGAATAAAGTTAATAAAACGTTGTGAAAAGATGATTTTTTTCCTCGGGATCGAATTTATTTGTGACCCATGATCAAAGGTATCCTTAGTACTGTCATCTATCTTCGTTTTCGAGAGCGTTTCATTAACACCCGGTATAAAAATAAGTAAATTAAACGCAATAAAATCTGTAGAAATTAGTGTCGTTACACACATAATGTCAGACATTGAATAAAATTTAAAATTATGCGTCCGTGTTTTTGCTCATAAACTTAAGAAAGCATTATGCAATTTTTTAATAAATGAATTTTTCATTTAATTTTTGTTAAATTTTAAATATGTTTTTTTTTTATTAAAATCATAAGTCACACTTTTATAAATCCTTCATTATAGCAGGCCTCTGTCACTCTTGCTACCTGCGTGAAATAATTACCTACAATCGCGAGCTGCACCAGGGGTAGATCGCAGTCGGGGCTAGCGCGCTCTAGGCGATTGAAAGTTTTTTTAACGCTGTTTACGTAAATATTTTTTTGTAAATAGGTACTTGTTGAAATATTCGTCGAAATAGTTTTTGTTTAATGTTTAGTATATTTAATTGTAGGATAAAATAGTTGAAAAAGTTTTAATGTAATTTAAGAATAATATATATGTATATTACCTACCTATTTGATAAATTATAATGGCAAAACGTCGTTCCTACTATAATTGTTGCGGGGATGGATGCTTAATGAGCAATTAAAAGGATTCAGATATATCATTTTTTGATTTACCGAAGGATAATGAAAGGTAAATTTATTTCATTTTTTTTATAGATAGTACTTATAGTGAAAAAATAATTAAGTAATAATTTAACTACAAAAGTAATACCTAAGTACTTTATTACAAAACTTCGTTGAAATTTACTTCACTGCCCTAGTAGGTACCTACTTTCATACCTTTACTCGTTTTCTAATTAAAATATTTTAAGTTATTATAGCACAAAATAGTGAAGTTAAAACTTTGTTTACAAGCTTTTCAAGTAGATTACGATCATATTTCTATTAGGAATCGTATTTCCGGTTTATTTGTTGTTTACGCTATCTACCTATGCGAACCAAGCATCGCGATTCCCGACGAATGGCCTTGCAAGTTGCATGCGTTGGGATCACAGAACTCACATAGTAGATAATATGGTCGATTATAGTCAGCATAGGTACTTTACCTAAGTAACTTACCATTTCAAAATGTATTTTATTAATCTTTACTAACAGCCCTTAGCAACCGCGGAAAGTCCGTTGTGACGTAGTAAGGAGAAAAGATGCAAAGTAATACGGACAGTCGCGCGCAGCGATAAAGGTTTATTTAAGGCGCAGGTTGAGCAAAATGTCGCGCTAGTCGTTATTTGGGCGGTTTTTAGAAGCTATCTACTTTTTATTTAAAAGATATATCAACAAATAAAAAACACATTATATTTCTAAATAATCTTGATTCCATAAAAGCTATATCCAATTTTTTTTTAAAGGAATAAATATTAAAATAATCTCCTTACAGCGAAACCACATAAATGTGAAATTATAATTGATAACATGCATCTCCTCGTAAAGTAAGTATTATTTTATTTTGCGATTTACACCAATGGATAGGCAATTTATTAATGAACATTTCTATAGTAAATTTTTTTTCAAAAGACCAAAATTTGATTTTATTAAGAAATTATTTTAAAATCTGGGCATATTTACTGCTCACGGGCTTGCTGAAGTCAGTGAGCGCTGAGCTCTTCGACGCGAAGCCCGTGTTGTTAGAGCGTCGACCAACGCATACGCCACGTCATATGAGTCGATAATATTATTACTTATTAGGTTATTTATAGGTAGTATTATTTGTTTGTTTTGGGTATAATTTTTCGTATTGGTTATACATATATTTGTTGTGTTTTTTACTGCGCGATGAAGCTTTTTGCGTGTATTTTCTTTGAAGTAAATGCAAATAAAAAAATGAAGCACCATTAGCATGTAAGGTTCGAATCTATAATTAAAATTTCGACAAATATTATAATTTACACTATAAAAGGCTAATTCAATATTATCACCCAACCACAATATCTAATCAGGTATAGTACTGCCTCGTTGGTCTAGTGGTTGTAGTAGTGCGACTGCTGATCATGAGGTCCCGGGTTCGAATCCTGGGTCGGGCCAAAAAGACAGTTATGAGTTTTTCATTTATGTTCTAAGTTATAATTAGTATTACTAAGTTATAGTTTTTTGCTAAAATATAGTATATTATTTATTGCTTGTTTTTTCTTCTTTTTCAAAAAATAATTGAGTACATAAGGTGTTCTATACTTATAATTCGGTAAAAAGTATTAATATACCTACTTTTTACTATAAACTAAAAATTTTTAAAACTAAATTTAACTAAAAAGACTAAACTGACCATTTATTTTTTAACTCATAACAGGACATGGGTTTATTTATACTCTAAAAACTATAACTTTATACAATTAGTGTTCACTATAAAATTATATTCGGTATAGACGGTAATTATTAAATGCAACATATTTTTTTTAATTATTAATTACATTTGTCAGTGGATTAAATTTGCTTTAATAAAGTTGGTGATGATTTTAAATAAGAATAAAATTCTGCTCAAGTTTTTTATTGTTATCTTTGTTAACAACATCGCCTTTAGAACTCTGGAACCGTAAGTGTTTCTTTCAGACATCCACAATTTATGCAAAATAAAAAAATACTCTTTCTACCGGAGCATTCGTACCAGGTAGACATAAAATATATTCGATTAAAAAAAAATTATGTTGAAGATTGTTGACTTTGAATACTTCCATCCAACTAGTTACATGACAATTTTGTGTCCCGGAGCTTTGTTTGGGGACAATGGGACAGGAGACCGAGAAAAGGGACAGTCCCGTTCAAAACGGGACGTATGGTCACTTTAGCTATAACCCGGCGACCATGAAGCAAATACAAAATTAGTCTTTGTATTAGCTTCATGGTGGCGCAGTGGCTTAGCAATCAGTTGTTGCGCTGGGGGCCGCGGGTTCGAATCCCGCATGGAACAAGTATTTGTATGGCCTACAAATAATTGTTCCGGGTCTGGATGTTTGTCTTTGTGCAATTTATGTTTGTAAACTGCCTCCACGAAACAGGAGAAAATCCTAGTGTGGGGTAACGTTTTTTTACAACTGAAATTGAAAGATTGAACCCTTATACTTCTTGTTGATTTTTGTATTACCTTTATTAAAGTTACCCTTATGTATAAATAAATATAATTACGTATGTAGAAATAAAATTGATTTTCATCCTCATCAATCATTGGGGTGAGGATAATATCTGCCAGCATAAGTTCAAAAATTAGTAGGTAACTTTTCAATATGTGACACGTAAAAATTAACAATAATCAAAAACACATATGCGAAACATCCTATTTATTTATTTATTTTTTATTGCACCAAATATTTGTACAAAAGCCGAGCTATCTATTTATTTACCTATAGTGAATAGGTATCTTTTAAACTCACAATTTTCAATGCTTCAGTTTTAATATATAATTAATTATAAAATTTCATAATTAGATAATATATGAAAATACATAATTCTAATATAATGCAACTAATATATACAGAATAAAAAAATTAAAATACATTTATCTTTGTACCTACGCTATGTGTATTTCCATAAAATAGTTTATTGATGTTGAAAAAATAATACTACTTTCGTACAATAGGTGGCGTCCTTCATATTTCTTCCGGCGAGCCGCTCGCTACAATATATTAATATTGTAGCAAGCGGTCAAATGCTCAAGGTCGTTCGCATGGAGTAGCCCCTTAACTTGCGTGCGCGATTTATCTGATTAATAATAACTATGTAGGCTATTAAAACGTCGGCAAGCAGTTAACATCAAAAGAGTGCACCTTCTGTACTTATTTATTCTGTGATTATAGGTAGTGGACATAAGTGCCATCGCCTTGGAGAATGTGGTAAAATGGCTACCGAACCGATGTCGTCTGCTTGTTGCCGGTGGAGACGGGACCGTTGCATGGGTTCTCAACGCATTGTTAACTGCGCCCCATATCAGGGTCTGTATTAAAAATGTTAACTTCATCGAATTCATTAATAATGAATAATATTAAAAAAATATTTTTTGCAGGCATCGGTAGGTATTCTACCGATGGGCACGGGCAACGATTTGTCACGGGTTTTGGGTTGGGGTCCGGGCTGCGACTCACACATCGATGCACATTCCATTATTAAATCTATTGGCCAAGCTGAAGAACAGCCACTTGATAGGTAAGTCCAATATTAAATTTTATATATTTATTTTTTCATTATTTTGTAGACAGTCCACTTTAGCCCATGGGCTTAAAGCGAACCGTTTGTTATTATCCGGCCCTTTAACACCGGGAATATACGAAGTGCTTATACTGCTATCGGAGTTTCAGTTTAGTTTTCTCATCATCGATCGCTATTTATAGCACCATAATACGATGTTTGAGAGCAGCCACTACCGGCAAGGCTACCACTAGTCAGTTTTGCTTAAGATAATTTACTGATTCGTTAGACCAGTTAACCAACATGCAGGTTCCTCCGTTTTTAGCGAAGATATCCCTGTTACTTTATAATTAAACTTAAAGACGCACAAAATTACTGATACCTAGTTTCATCCGTGAAAGCGCGCCCCTACTATTTATGTATATGATAATAAATGGGTGACATTGAAACTAATTAGAAAATCAAATATAATATACACCAACACTCCATGAATGTAGTTATTATTGAAACGAAAATGCTCTGTCGTTTTATTAACTTTATTTCATTTATTTAATCGATTGTATTCCATATATGTATTATATATATATATACTACCGCGGGACTTCTTTCGTGAATCATAATAGATTAAATCTGATATTATAAACTACTTATTGTAAGAAGGACATACGCGTATATTATTTATACCTACCTACGAACGTAATTAAAATAACTTCAATATGAATATATATTTATATACCTAGTCAGGTCATAAGTATTGTCACTCAGTAAAAACTGTTCTTTTAGAATGCTGGCCACAAAAAAGTTTATTGAATTCGAATTTCGAATTGTTCATGAAAGTAAAACTGTATACTTTTTAGAAGTTTACTCATTTTTAAATATGGAGTGGACGCTTAAAGAAGACCGTGTTGCAGTTATTGCGTTGCATCGTTGCGGTTACGCGCCAATTCAAATTTTTGACATACTGAAAAATTTGAATATAACCAAAAGATTCGTTTATCGTACCATCAAACGATACAATGAAGACTCTAGTGTAGATGACAGGTCAAGAAGTGGTCGCCCTCGGTATGTTAGGACTCCAGCAGTGATAAAAGCTGTGAAGGCGCGAATTCAAAGAAATCCCAAACGTAAGCAGAAACTGTTGGCCCTTCAGATGGGGTTAAGCAGAACCACGGTGAAAAGGGTGTTAAATGAAGACTTAGGGTTTCGGGCATATCGAAGAAAAACAGGACATCGTTTGAATACTCGTCTAATGGACCTGAGAACGAAGAGATGCCGCGCTTTGTTGAAGCGGTACGCGGGAAAAAAATATCGGGAAATTCTTTTTTCGGATGAAAAAATTTTTACCGTAGAAGAGAGCTACAACAAACAAAATAATAAGGTGTACACACACAGTAGTGAAGAAGCGAGCAACCGTATTCCGCGTGTCCAACGAGGTCATTTTCCATCCTCGCTCAGGGTATGGTTGGGAGTTTCTTATTGGGGCTTAACAGAGGTACATTTTTGTGAGAAAGGTGTAAAAACGAATGCAGTTGTGTATCAAAATACAGTCCTGACGAACCTTGTGGAACCTGTTTCTCATACCATGTTCAATAACAGGCACTGGGTATTCCAACAAGATTCGGCGCCAGCTCATAGAGCGAAGAGCACACAAGACTGGCTGGCGGCGCGTGAAATCGACTTCATCCGGCACGAAGACTGGCCCTCCTCCAGTCCAGATTTGAATCCGATAGATTACAAGATATGGCAACACTTAGAGGAAAAGGCGTGCTCAAAGCCTCATCCCAATTTGGAGTCACTCAAAACATCCTTGATTAAGGCAGCCGCCGATATTGACATGGACCTCGTTCGTGCTGCGATAGACGACTGGCCGCGCAGATTGAAGGCCTGTATTCAAAATCACGGAGGTCATTTTGAATAAACTTTAGTGTCATAAGAATCTATGTTTTGTTAAGTTCATTTTGGTATATAAATGGTTACATAATGAATAAACTTGTTTCAATTATTTTATATTAAACATGTGACAGAATTTATGACCTGACTAGGTATATAAATATATATTCATATTGAAGTTATTTTAATTACGTTCGTAGGTAGGTATAAATAATATACGCGTATGTCCTTACAATAAGTAGTTTATAATATCAGATTTAATCTATTATGATTCACGAAAGAAGTCCCGCGGAAATATTGGAAAAATAAAATGTAAAGTACCCATGGAGGTTGACAGCAAATGTCAACTTTCGCGGACTGTGGCGCCGCAACTGAGGAGGGACTTCTTTAGTTAAAAGGACTCATCTTAAATCATAGCTGAAAATAAAACACTTTTTGTAATGAGATAGATAGTGTGTAAGTTTTCTTAAAATGGGACGAAATTTAGAAAAGGTTTAGAGGAAAAATAGAATTCCTTGACGACAACTGTTGTTTTTGCCAGTGAAATAACCGCTGGAATTTAACTAATTATTTTATAATTTATAATAACTGCTGGATTTTCCACCATCGATCGCTAGTTGAACTTGTTGTAATCAACCAACACTTAAATTACTGAGTACCTACATACATCGAGTATTAAAGAGAAGGTCCATGTAGAAAAATCAGATAAATAGAATAACTTTTATTCATTATATATTACAAAAATACTTATTGAATTCATTTATGCTTTTACTAGTCCGGAAAAAACCAGCAAGAAACCTAGTGGGATTTTTTTAACATAAATTACAGTATACTATATTATACAATTAAATATGAAAAATAAAATACGGAATGCATTTTTTAAGTCGCCATCCGTTACTTTCGACTCAACTACTTTTTTAAATCAAATTTAGGCCGTGTTTTTAATTGGGTAATCTAAATTTTGAAAAGATGTCCCTTTTAGTTGAGACGTAATTGATTTATTTACTGTTTTATCAAAATGAAAATGGGAATATGTGAAAGTAAATAATTTTGCCAACTATTTTCACTATTAGTGAAACAATTTTGAATAGTGTACGACAATGCTTTAGCAAGCTGCATCCTTAAACAGCATGGTAACCATAAACTCACTCCTAATGATAATTTTTTAGTATAATAACCATTATTAAACAATTTTTGCTTAATAAAGATTTTAAACTTTATTATTGTTCTAAAAACACTATCAATGCTATTCACATTACTAATATTCCCTGTAACCACTCCTGGTAAGCTTATAGTGTTTGTGTTAGGCGTTGAATACTACAGTAGTCGAATGTCGGATTCGAACCCACGACCTTTTGAGTTCACGGTCCGTACTCTTGCATTAGGTTATTGTCGCTTAAATACTTAGGTCCTGCATATTGTCTAAGACTTTACATTGGCTCATGAATGAATACTGATTCTTTCGAATCGAGTAACTGGTGTGCGGCAGTTGTGTTGTGAGCATTGGTGTGCATGCAGATGGAAAATAACGATCGCGGGTCGCGGCGGGCGGCTGCGGCGCGCGCGCACGGTGCGCGAGGTGTTCGCGTACAACTACGCGAGCGTGGGCGTGGACGCGCAGGTGGCGCTCGACTTCCACCGCGCGCGCGCCATGTTCCTGTACCGCTTCGCCAGCCGCACTCTCAACTATGTGAGCCTTGGCCTTTTGAACACGCTTCTATTAGCTTCGCGTGTATCTATCTACGTGTAGAGCTACAAAAGTCTAGCGGTGACCGTTATTTCGCATAAGTTGCGCTGATTGCCTCTCCAGTCGCATTCGTGCAATTCAATTTGTGCGCGTCCCCTCCGCGTTTCGTTCAGTGCTAGACTTACGTGCCGCGACTTGTACCTATATCTATGTAACGGAATTTTCCATTGTAATTTTCATCAAGTTGACACTCGTATCAAGGACCGATGACAATACAATAATAATAAAAATAAACGACAAAACAAAATAATAAGTTTATCCTAGTATCCTAATCGAGATCACCAGGACAAAATATTTTTTTATATATGACCTAATATTCTCACTAGGATCAATGCGTGTTTAAGTTTTTAAAATTAATATTATTTTAAATATACCTATTATTTGAAAACGAGTGTACTAGGTGCTCGGGTTCTATTTTTTGTAGGAGACGTCTAGGTGTAAACCACCCTATTATTTATTTCTGCCGCTAAGGAAAGGAATGCGTAATGAAATGAGTAAAAATTTTGCTTACTTAGATTTTGTTAAGAAATACACAATATGCCAACCATAGAAAGAGATCGATTATCTGTCATCATCATTAATTGTTTCAATTCAATTTTTAAAAGTAGTTTAAATACTTTTTGACAGCATTATCGGCTTCAACTCTCTCGAAAACCATGAAAATGACACCCAAGATGAAAAAATTGATATCTATTGCAGCCGCCATCTTGGATTTACATTTCGACAACCCTATCGGCTTCAACTCTCTCGAAAACCATGAAAATGACACCCGTGATGAAAAATTTTATACCTATTGCAGCCGCCATCTTGGATTTACATTTCGACAGCATTATCGACTTCAACACCCTCGAAAAACATGAAAATGACACCCAAGATGAAAAAATTGATATCTATTGCAGCCGCCATCTTGGATTTATATTTCGACAGCATTATCGGCTTCAACACCCTCGAAAACTATGAAAATGACACCCATGATGAAAAAATTGATACCTATTGCAGCTGTCATCTTGGATTTACATTTCGACAGCACTATCGGCTTCAACACCCTCGAAAACCATGAAAATGACACCCATGATGAAAAAATTTATACCTATTGCAGCCGCCACCTTGGATTTACATTTCGACAGCACTATCGGGTTCAGAACCCTCGAAAACTATGAAAATGACACCCATAATGAAAAATTGATACCTATTTCAGCCGCCATCTTGGATTTACATTTCGACAACCCTATCAACTTCAACACTCTCGAAAACCATGAAAATGACACCCATGACGAAAAAATTTATACTACTTACTTTTAGTACGTAGTACTATTATTTATTCTGTGGTTTTAAAATATTGTAAAAAAAAAATTCTCTCATTATTATTATAATCAAGTATTTAAGAAATTCGGTTATTCGAATATTGTGTATTTGTACAGCGATCTTTTTGAGCCGCTGCAAACAACCGAAACAATGTCACGACGGCGACTGACGTCTCCAGTATTATATATTAGTCTATGGACTGACGCCGAACTGAGTTACGCAGTCTCTATTCTATTTACAATAATTTTTCATACAAGGCTGCTGAATACACCGAAAATTTCGCCATTTCGCAGCCGAATAATATTTATTATAACTAAACTAAACAAAATAAAACTGCCATTTTCATTCAATGGCTTCCCACATGATAGAGTTTTAAAAATATATTGAGCTGAACAATTGATATTTTCAAAAGTTGTCGTGTTTACAAGCCTTGTTGACTTGATATATCCACACCATAAGCTACTAAAACCCTTTTTTTATTTAAAAATAGCAATTAATCGATTTAAAAAAATATATTAATAAGTTTAACAATCATTTATCTTTCTGACAATGTGCTTTTTATATCACTTATATGTACAATATGATTGCTAGATACGATTTCATGCGACAAAACGTTGGAATCTTAATAATTAGGCGATAGTAGAACATACCTTGCGCTTTCGCTTAAGGCATGCAAAAGTCCACTACTATAAGCCACGTATAAGCTTCAATATGTCAAAATCCTCTTGGCAGGTTGGCGACCGCAGTTTTTTGTCATTTTGGGTTGTTATCAGAAAGGTGCTACTGCCCTTTGACATGGAGTAGTGGATATTCTTACACTGCCACTACACGTTTTCGACTCACTCTAGTGACTAATAATTGTGAGCTTGTAAAAGATATACGTGGTGGAGCCATGCTGCAGCTATATTAGTAATATAGTTGTAGCACGAATGGGTCGGCTCGACCGGGGAAGGACCACGCTCTCACAGAAAACCAGCGTAAAATAGCAGCTTAACGCTGCTGTGTTTCGTATGGTGAGTGTAGAGAACCGGAGACCCTTTTTACTTGATTCTTGATCAAGGAAGGATATATGTAGATGTCTATGGGCCACAGTAATCACTTACCATCAAGTGGACTGTATGCTTGCTGGAGTTGAACAGGGCAATATAATAAAAGTAATAACAGCATTAAATGTTACATATGTAACAAAAACGTTTACTAGTAACCGTATTACCTTAGTCTGATTGTAGAATTGGGTAGATCGCGTGATCTACCTTGGCGTTTCATGATTTTATGATTTATCCAATAACTTATAATAAGTCTTTAGTTAACTTTGTTATTAATATGAAGTTATGAATAATGAACGCAGAGCCTATACTTTGCGCTGGTAATATTGCTCCGTTCTCCTTGTTAACAGTCTGTTAGCATTTTTCGTTTGGATATTTTACCGTCATCAGTCAGCCGACAGTATCGTATATAATGTTACGAGCTTGGGGTTCGAGACAATTAAAAACTGCCGATTGAATTACCAAAATTGACACTTTAATTACACAACACTAATTACAATCTAAAATCACACTAATAATAAAACACAGTTCGCCGTTATTTCGCTTCGAAGTATTCTCTTGTATCGCCAATTCAATACTGCCCCGGTCGTGGTTTATACCGGCCTTATATAGGGCCTCAGACAGTTTCCAGAACCTTCTACTGTAGCGACATCTAGAATGTTCGAGTACATATCGGTCCCGAAATTTCTGGAAGGATCTTGACTCTCCTAGTTCTGCTACTCGACACTAGAGGGCGCTAGTGTAACTAGTGTTGCCATGTACAAGACATTAATAGTGGCGCGCAACACTGCCCCCTCCTAAGACATGCTCGTCCCGAGCATTGTTGGCCCCATAATAACGCGCCAGTCTATTCACATGGACAATCTTAGGAGTACCTCTTCTAAAATCAGTCAGCACCCGCCAGTTTCCCTGCTGCTGCTGGGCGGTGCTGTTAGCCACACTACCCTCTCGAGATCGATCACCTTTTTCTACAGTTCGTTTAGGGCAGCTGGATCGAAGATGGCCCCTTTTCCCACAACCGTAGCACCTAGGGCTGTATTCTTTATTGCTGTCGTGAACTGTAGCTGCTGAAACCTCCCTGACACGATGGGAACGATGATCCTGCCGCGCGGCTTCCACCTCCAGTGCATGGGCCAACGCATCCTTAAGCGTCTCATGGTGCCCGAGCCTCACAGCAGCTCTGACTTCAAGGTCGCGGATGCCGTCGATGAATGTCTGCACCAGGTTCCCTACAATGAGCGCAGGTACAGACTGGTATGCTTTCCGAACCAGCTTCTCCACCTCAAGGGCCCACTGCTGCAGGTTTTCGTTGCTGCGTTGCACGCGATCTTCGAGCTGCGCACGAAAGACGTGTTCCAGGTGAGCGTCGCCATATCTCGACTCCAATGCCTCAAGGAGCTGCTCGTAAGTCACTTCCTTACCGAGAGCTTCCAGAACAGTTAAGGCTTGGTCGCGTAGGCCTAGGGTGAGAGCAGTCATGGCCTGACTTTTATTCCAGCCGTTCGCCTTCATAACAGCCTTGAACTGGATTTTGTAGGCCGACCAGGAAGAAGTCCCGTCGAATGGTGGCACTTTGAATAATCCACCTAGCGAAGGTGTTGTAGCTACCACGGGAGCTGTAATTCCATCTCCATGTTTGAGGTCGTCCAGCGTTTTCTTCACGTCAGCCATCACGTTGTCAACCCGATTGTACACTTGGTCGATTCGGGTTTCAGCCGCAGACAGGCGGTTGTCATATAGAGCAACCTTATCCTTCAACTCCTTTATCTCTTTCCCGAAGGTAGCGTAAAGATCCTTCATGAGGAGCATCTGCTCTTCCTTATAACGTTTGAGCTGCTCTTTCAACCGACGGGCCTGTTCCTCCTGTTGGCGGGCATGTGCCTCCTGTCCGCGCTGCAGCTGCTCTTCCAACCGACGGGCCTGTTCCTCCTGTCGGCGAGCCTGTTCCTGCAGCATCATCATCAGAGCACCTAAGTCAGGTGCTGTAGATGCAGGAGCTGATGACGGACCGGCCTCCGTGGTCAGCAGCTGGCCCTCCGATGTTTGCGGCGTTGTATTACCAAATTGTCTCTGGTCCGTTTCCAGCTGGCGTTGACTTCGGATACGGATACCCTCCATGTCGTCCTTTGGTAAAATCGGCATGATTTAATCCCACTTCTGACACCAATTGTTACGAGCTTGGGGTTCGAGACAATTAAAAACTGCCGATTGAATTACCAAAATTGACACTTTAATTACACAACACTAATTACAATCTAAAATCACACTAATAATAAAACACAGTTCGCCGTTATTTCGCTTCGAAGTATTCTCTTGTATCGCCAATTCAATACTGCCCCGGTCGTGGTTTATACCGGCCTTATATAGGGCCTCAGATAGTTTCCAGAACCTTCTACTGTAGCGACATCTAGAATGTTCGAGTACATATCGGTCCCGAAATTTCTGGAAGGATCTTGACTCTCCTAGTTCTGCTACTCGACACTAGAGGGCGCTAGTGTAACTAGTGTTGCCATGTACAAGACATTAATAGTGGCGCGCAACAATAATATACATATATCTTTGCGTTTGCGTCCGTCTTTGGCAGACAGGGTATAGTTATAACATGCAAATCAGGTAGACATTTGAAGAAAAAGATCACATGTTGATTTTACGATTACAAGTCGACATCGATAAGGATCAACATTTCTGAGCTGTTTTAGAAATTTATAAATATTGTAGCAAAGCGTACCTATTACTTTCCAAGGTAGTACTAAGCTTCCGTATTGTCGTGTTAGTATGTCATATGGCTTCAAGAGAACATAATTTGTACAGATCGCGTATTTATTCCTGGGCGTGGGTCGTGCATTAGACGATGGTGGGTGTCAAGGCTTAGAGCGGAGGCTGCGCGTGTTCCTCGACGAACAGAACGAGCCGATGTCCCTCCCGCCTCTTCAAGCGCTCGTTGCGCTGAACATTCCTTCATGGGGCGCTGGAGTAGATCTCTGGAGTAAGTAATTTGCTATGTACCTATAGGGAATTTACTTCACTAAATATGCTAAAAAACACCTTCCTTTGTCCCCAATCATGGATCAAAATGCTCATGTGTATTGTTGGTACCCACACCTTTGGTTATTTGGGTTTGTATTCTTCTCCGATGTTTCAATTAGCCAAAGGTGCAATGAGCAAATTTACAAGATTTTGACGAAACAGGAAGATCTCTAATGTCACCAAAAAAAGACTTGTCAGAACATTAATGTTCCTTTTATGGTTCTGACGGCTGGACGATTCGAGCAGCAGACAGGAATAGGAACGATGTGTTCGAAATGTGGTATTGGAGAAGGATGCTTTGGATATCACGGACCGCGAAGAGTACCCACAAGTTAATCTTGGTTGATAGTGTAGACATCAGACTCTCTACTACGTGTTGCCAAATAATTCCCAGTTACTTTGGTCACATTGCCCGACGTGTGTAGGCAAGGTGGAGGGCAAAAGACCACGCGGCCGATTATCTAGCCGCTGGTTGGACCAGGTTAAATCACTCACTGACCTACCACGTACGGCCGCAATGCGAAAAGCCGAGGACTGAACTGAAGGCTATAGTGATCAGCGTTACGAAGGCACTAAACTACGGACACGGCCAAGAACATGAGCAAGAAAACCGTTACCCAAAAAGATTAAGATTGCATGTCTTGTTATCAGTATGAAGGGTCTCCGGTTCTCTTACTTAAGAAACACAGCAGCATTTTATGCTGCTATTTCACGCTGGTATTATTTCAGTATTTCTAGGGGGTGACATTGCATCTGCAACCCTTTTGAAGTTTTCGCTGGTCTGGGTATTTCACATTTGGCTTACACAAACGGTGATACCGCTTAAGCCTTTTATCTCTTTGCCACGATATTTTTCTTGCCGTCCCTATAGTCCCCTCCCGACGCCCGCGATCCGTCATTCACGAGACTAAATGGGTTGGTCGATTTTATTACGTCACCACCACACAAAACAAAATGTTTAGCTTGCCTTATTCTCAGACTCTGCACGGCTAGCATGGGCTGGGGACAAAAAATTTATCCCCCGATTATATCCACTGACAAGAGATAAAATTATCTTGTTCCTATGCCAAAGCACGGCAACGAGTAGACATATATCCTCCGTCCGTAGAATGGAGCCAAATGAAATTTTTTTTGACATTTGAAAGGGACAATTCTATCTAAGTCTAATTCTATCTCCCATTTTATCTACTGTGGATATTATATCCACCGGCGTGCCCATGCTCGAAGGGTAGATAAAACTAAGCGAGGTGATAAATATTTTCTCCTTTCCCTGGCGATTAAATTGTCTCCTGCCCATGCTAGCCCTGCTGGGCGTGTCATTGTATACACTACTCTTATTTTATTCTCAGGCATGGGGAATGAAGATGAAGTCCCAGAGCAACGTGTAAACGATGGTAAACTCGAGGTAAATATACGTACTTTCTTCACACAAGCTAATGATAGCAGTAACTCGACTTAAAAAAGTCATTCAATGAATGAAATATTCATTGGGGGGGGGGGGGGGGGCCTTTTCTTTTACAACAAAATTTCAGAAAATATGAAAGGTCTATTCTAAACATTATGAAATCAATATTTTTTAAATCTATTCTTTTCATTTTTTTTTAAAAAGCGTTACCCCCACACTAGGATTTTCTTCTGTATCGATGTATGGAGCATTTGATAGACATACATTTCATAAGGAGAAACATTCAGAACCGGAACAATTATTTGTAGGCTATACAAATACTTGTTCCGAGCGGGATTCGAACCCGCATCCTTCAGCGCCGCAACTCATTGCTAAGCCCCTGCGCCGCGGAGCCGTTTATTACACATAGATTGCATAAAATGGGTTATTATAATACTATACTATGACGTGGTATGATGATATGACACAAAAGTGATAAAGATTTTCATGATAGCATGGTTCACTACCATCGAAGGAAGCATAAGCTATAACTGCCACACTTGACGGGGGCAATCACCAGGTATATTGCAGGCGTAACTTTCTACTATGTTTTATGAGCTGTCTTTACCTTGCTTATAAGTTCTATCTCCTTAATCGGCCCCTGTTCAGCTTAATCTGAAACTTCGGTTTAGAGCAATGTGACAGTATATCCAAATATTCCTTAAAAATCTATTCTGGAAGCATTAGAGGTCTGAAAGCGACTTCGAGACGCTTTTTTTACAATTTTAACAACTCAACTTCGTTTGCGTGCAAGCTTCTCCTTTTCTACTTTCTATTTAAATATGTCTCTTGTTTGGTTACAAAATATTTATATCGTTTTGCAGGTGGCTGGAATTTCGTCGTCATTCCATATTGCGAGACTGCAGGTTGGTCTCGCTGAACCCTACCGCTTCGCTCAAGCGTCACGACTAAAGGTACAACTTTATTTCACATTTTGATAATAACAAATAGCTTAATAAAAGCTGAGTTAAAGATATTTTACAAAATGGTGAAGGTGATGTTGTTCCCCTGATAGTTTAATGCTTTAATATTCATATTTTTAATGTAAATAATTTGCTTCATAAAAATCTAATTGGATTTACAAGTAATGCTGGTGTTGAGCTGATTAAATATATTTTTACGGCCCCGCAACGTCAATGGCTATCCTCTCCCATGGTGCACCAACATTGTACAATTTCAATGCACCTCTACTACCAATTTGAGGTCCCTTTACAGCCGCACAACTTGTACATTTGCGGCACCAGTCCTCGACATCGTCTCGACAGTGGACCCAGTAAAACCGTTCTCGGATCTTCAGGAAAGTTCCTTTAACTCCCAGGTGGCCTCCTGAACAACCACTATGGTACAGCTGTAGAACATCCGGCACTTTAGCCTTAGGGACAACCATTTGCAAATGACACCTGTCTCCCCGACCATTTTCCCATTTACGGCACAGGACTCCATCCTGAATCAGCAAGCTGTTCCATTGGGCCCAATAGCTTTTCGTGGTCGAACTCATTGCTGAGACGTCGCTCCACTTGGGCTTAGGAGCACTGGCCTTCTTCCATTCCAGAATCGGCTCAATATCCGAATCTTTCTGCTGTGCATGTTGTAGGCTGTTCTTCCATTCATTGCTGAGCTGGTCTGTCCTGAATATCCTCGCAGATACCACTTCTTTACCCTCTTGCCTAGTACAATGCTTGCAATCTTCAGGACAAGGTCTTCTTGCTAATGCATCTGCATTGCCATGAGATTTCCCGCTGCGATGTTCGATCACAAAGTCGTATTCCTGTAGTAGTTCAATCCATCTCGCAACTTGTCCTTCCGGATTTTTGAATTGCAATAGCCATTTCAGTGCAGCATGGTCAGTTCGTAAGTAGAATTTCCGCCCCAGGAGATATTTGCTAAAATGCTGCAAGGACTACCACAGCAAGCAATTCCCGTCTTGTGACACAATAGTTCCTTTCCGGCTTTGACAACGACTTGCTGAAGTACGCTATCACAATCTCTTGATCACCATTCCGTTGAGACAACACACCGCCAAGTCCTATATCACTTGCTGCTGCTCGTAAGTCACTTCCTTACCGAGAGCTTCCAGAACAGTTAAGGCCTGGTCACGTAGGCCTAGGGTGAGAGCAGTCATGGCCTGACTTTTATTCCAGCCGTTCGCTTTCATGACAGCCTCGAACTGGATTTTGTAGGCCGACCAGGAAGAACTCCCGTCGAACGGTGGCACTTTGAATCCACGTAGCGAAGGTGCTGTAGCTACCACGGGAGCTGTAACTCCATCCCCAATTTTGAGGTCGTTCAGCGTTTTCTTCACGTCAACCATCACGTTGTCAACCCGATTGTTCACTTGGTCGATTCGGGTTTCAGCTTCCGACAGGCGGTTGTCATGTTGAGCAACCCTATCCTTCACCTCCTTTATCTCTTTCCCGAAGGTAGCGTGAAGGTCCTTCATGAGAAGAAGCTGCTCTTCCAACCGACGGCCCTGTTCCTCCTGTTGGCGGGCCTGTTCCTCCTGTTCGCGCTGCAGCTGTTCTTCCAACCGACGGGCCTGTTCCTCCTGTTGGCCGGCCTGTTCCTCTTGTTGGCGGGCCTGTTCCTCCTGTCCGCGCTGCAGCTGCTCTTTCAACCAACGGGCCTGTTCCTCCTGTCGGCGAGCCTGTTTCTGCAGCATCATCATCAGAGAACCTAAGTTAGGTGCTGTAGATGCAGGAGCTGATGACCGACCGGCCTCCGTGGTCAGCAGCTGGCCCTCCGATGTTTGCGGCGTTGTATTACCAAATCGTCTCTGGTCCGTCTCCAGCTGGCGTTGACTTCGAGTACGGATACCCTCCGTGTCGTCCTTGTCGCTAAAATCGGCATGATTTAATCCCACTTCTGACACCAATTGTTACGAGCTTGGGATTCGAGACAATTAAAAACTGCCGATTGAATTACCAAATTTGACACTTTAATTACGGATACCAATTACACCTTAAAACACACTAATAATAAAACACAATAATTCTACTGATCACTTAAGTTCGCAGTTGTTTCACTTCGAAGTATTCTCTTGTATCGCCAATTCAATACTGCCCCGGTCGTGGTCTATACCGGTCTTATGTAGGACCTCAGGTAGTTTCCAGAACCTTCTACTATAGAAACATCTAGAATGTTCGAGTACATATCGGTCCCGATATTTCTAGAAGGATCTTGACTCTCCTAGTTCTGCTACTCGATACTAGAGGGTGCTAGGGGTAACTAGTGTTGCCATGTACAAGACATTAATAGTGGCGCGCAACACTTTCTTTTACTCGACACTAGAGGGCGCTAGTGTAAGTAGTGTTGCCATGTACAAGACATTAATAGTGGCGCGCAAGAGTATTATATCGTGATTGTCCCCTACAAGATAAGCTAAGTCATTAATATAGACTAAGAACAGAAATGGAGGAACGGCCATTGATACTACTGATCCGGAGGAACCTTTACCATTGATCACGACTTTTTGAGTTCTGTTATTAAAATATGAAATAATAAGTCTAAGAGCAATATTTTTCTGCCGACTTCCAAAAAGGAGACGGTACTCAATTCGACTGTATGTTGTTTTTAATGCGTTACCTCATAACTTTGTACTGGGTGAACCGATTTCGATGATTCTTTTTTTATATGAAAGCTGATAGTTCTCGTGTGGTCCCATTTGAATTTGATCAAGGTCAGACCAACAGTTTTTGAGTTATTCTTAAATAACTTATATTGAAGTCAGCTGTACAAAATTTTTAATCTTAAATTATGTCACCGTAATGTTGTAATTTTCTGATTAATATCTCATGATGAACACAATCGAATGCCTTGGAAAGATAACTAAAAATATTTAAGGCATCTTGTGAACTCTCCCAGATGTTAAAAATATATTTCATAAGCTCGACACCTGCGTCAGTCGTCGAGCGACCCCTTGTGACCCTTGTGACCCCAAATTGATTTTATGGAGTAATTTATTTTTATTAAAAAAATTTAAAATTTGATCGAAAATTATTTTTTCAAAAAGTTTACTGAGAGTTGGTAGTAGAGCAATAGGTCTAAAATTAGCGGGGTCCAAAAATATTCGAACTAAAATGTATAGTATTTAGTAGTATATTTCCTCATAGTGGGGATATTTGCCATAGTTGCCAAGCTGGGCAACCGCAGAAGACGCTGCTGCCCATCTCCTGAATTGTTTCATTTCTGTCTTCCATTATCCTGATTCATTTCATTCATTCTAACACTGCCACTACATGGTAACACCAGGCCTTCAATAACATGGCTTATTCTATTGAAGGCCTGGTATAATCGATGAAAATTTGTATATAACAAAGACATGCTGTACCAATTATTTTCCATAGTTTGTTTAAGTGTGTTTGATCTATTGTATCGGAATTTTTCCCTAAAGACGGCTTGTTCCAGCGGTTGACTCTTGAGCTCAGACATCAATGAACGTTTTTAGTCATGAATTCGTATTTGACATACGAGAAATTATTACCTCATCTCTCTCAGTCTTGTGGATGCATTGAGACGCGACTTAGAGAAAGGTTTAGAAGTTCTTTTGGCTTCCGACGACGGAAACATGCGTTGAAGGTGTGAGACGACTGTTACTGCTATCGACAGTCTGCCTATCAAGCATGACGGTAAAGGCAAATCCTCTTTATTAAGGAAGAGGCCCATATCCAGCAGCGGATCAGTGACGCGAAAAGAGAAGAATATAATTTCACGTAACGGTAATATTATAATCTAGTTGTTAATAAATTGTTTCTTTTAGATTGAGCTGTGGGGGTCATGTGCAATGCAAGTGGACGGCGAGCCGTGGATGCAGTCGGCCGCCACCATCACAATGGAACCAGCGGGCCAGTGTCTAATGTTGCGAGCGGCCATTCCTTCGGAAAACAATTCCTAATTAAATATCCTGTTATAGTTTAGTTTACGACGGGCTGTTTTCCGTAACTCCATGTCTAAGCACGTATTTTGCGTGTAGGCATAAATATCGCAATTATTCGAGCCATGAAATCTCTCCGAAGAAATTCAACAGTCCTTTGATGTTGCGAGCAACTTCGAGGAGTGATCCCGGCGTGCCGAGGTGTTTAGCTCTATATATAGAGACCTCCGGACATGTCAGCAACACACGGTCCGCCGTTTCCTCCTCCACCATACATACCCTGCACCTGCATAGGATTATCTGTAACACCTAATTAAATGTGTGTTAAAGGAGCCTTGTCCTGTAATGGCACCCGTTGCTATCTTGATCTATGGCTTGTTCAACCTCATTATCCTGTTATATGTATTATACAAAACAAACTAATACTGATAGGAATCGATATACAATTAAGTAAAATCCCTATAAATCTTACAATTTTATGAGCTCGTTGCTTCTAATACATGTTCGCATTACCGCACTTAAATTGGAATGTATAAAAAGAGAGATATTTTTTACCATACATGGACCGAAGAACTCTCAGTTTTAGGATCGTTCAGGAAGTCATAAGTCATGTAAATGTATTTTTATTAGATGACTTCTCCACCAGCCCGAAAAAAAAAACACTGCTTGATATGGGCTTTTTCCATTATAGGGACATCGCCACGTTTGACGGAATGGCGATCGTAGATCTAGACGTCTCGCATTTATGATCCTGATCCCTTTCGCCCGTCTGGGTATTTAACGTCTTACAATAAACATGATAGTTGTACCAATAGATCTATCGGAGCCATGAGATCTTTCTGGCATATTCCAACACGACTCTTACGACACTCACGGGACGAAATGGGGAGATGATGACTTCTCACACCGCCACCACACGACAATTTCATGACGTAAACAAATTGCCGGCATTATTTTTCTAATTTCATTAATTATTTATAAATTTATGGGCACGTTTCAACATATCAAGTCGGGGACTCAAGGTTGAGATGGATCTGTGTATGACAGATGTCCTCTCCGACGTATACGCAAATTCCAGCCCGTGGCAAAATGGAGTGTTTTAATTTGTACCCCGGGTAGGGAAGGTAAGAAGTATCTGTCGAAGATGACACCTGTGTCCCGGTTAGAAAGAGCAAGGCCGGCTTCGCCGGCTCCAGATGTAGTGAACGGCGTTAAGATTCAAATGAAGTCCTCTGATTTTGTAAAAACTCACGGATAGCGTGGCGGGGGTCGCATTTGTCGTATTGCTTTGCTTGTCCCGAGCAGTTTGACGAATGGGAGAATCGTTCAAAAAGGCGAAGTATTGGGTAACGCATTTTATGAATAAAAAAGTAATAGATATGAAATGAACATAGTGTACGAATGAATAGTGAAACAAGAGACAGTTTGGCAAAAATTATATTGCGGTAAGCTGTTATTTTTAGTATGCTTTTATTATTGTATGAGATGAGAAGATGACGTAATAAAGACAATGAATTATAAGAAAAAAAAATCATCTTGTTAAAAGCAGAATCAAACATCTTTCATACAAGATTAGTATTGTTGAATCCTTTTAGCCATGATTAGTGATTACATTAAATTATACATGAGTGGGGATCTCGATATTACAGTCTTTACAAACCTTTAGATTCAGTAAATCTAAATTACTTTTAGAAATTCACCTTGCGATGTTAATATTGCTATTCTAAAATATAGTAAAAACAGAAGTGGTAAATGTTAATACAACTGTATTTAAACCTTTATGTATGTTATTACTGTAAGCTTTAGGGCCTATTTTTCAATCCCCAGATAAACAGACAAATAGCGTTTGTTCGACAGATAGCTTATAAATTAATTTTTCAATAGACAGATAGTCTCTATTAGACGAATAACTTTACCGGAGGATACCGGAAGATATTATTAACCCTCATTATTAGACAGTTAAGCAGCCAAATAATTTTATTTGTTAGTTAGTTATTATTTTGTTATATACATCTATTATTTTATCTTAGGATTGAAAATCGACCCATAAATGGATTAAACAGAAGAGTTTTATACAGAATCTCTAAAAAATGTTTCAAATGCGATATTGTATCTATTTAATTATAACATAATATAGTAATATTGTGTAAAATTTAAATGTTGCCAAAGAAATATTTTTACTCTTTATTGTATAACTTGTATAAGTAATAAAAAGAACTAATATACATAATTTTTGTGGTTTTATTTATTTACAGTTATTTTTATTTATTTAACTTTAATCATACTTAATATTATCTTGTGACATTCTAATAATTCAACTCCCTTAAATTGTTAAGTCAATTTTAACCTAACAATTATTAAATTTTCTTGCTCAGAATGGAAGTTAGTGTTTTTTTTTTATATAGGATAGTATGACAAACGAGAACACCGTCCACCTGATGGTAAGTGGTTGCTATGACCCATAGACATCTATATCTATCCTCAATAAATAATCAAAATGCGAATGCGTTATCACCGGTGAGGGCTAAGATGGAATGCCTCTTCTCCAGTAGAAAGGGTCTCCGGTTCCTTACACACACCATATGAAACACATCAGTGTTAAGCTGCTATTTTACGCTGGTATTCTGTGAGAACGGGGCCTTCCGCGGTCGAGCCGAACCATTCGTGCTACAACTATACTACTAATAAAGCTCCAGCATGGCTCTACCACGTACAAAGTGAAAAGACATGCGATGGGACGGTACTTGCTCGGATCTTTTGTAATCTGTCTGTGTAAACCAAATAAGTGACACCAGTAATGACGAAGCTCGGAACTGCCTTCTGATCGAGGGCTTTCCGGAATAGCACGGCGAGGAAAGCGTAACATACCACGAACGCTTATAGCCAATGTAATGCAGCCCAAGATATTATCGTTAAGATCGTTAAAGCTTGTTTGCACATAAAAATGAAGATTATTAACATACAGAATGTACCAACAGTTGAGAATGTCTACAGCCTTGAATTAAATAGTTAACAGTCTTCTCGATCTCATCTCGAATTACAGGGAAAAAGAAAAAGGACAGCTACGTGATACTGCTGGTCTCGGTCACGGCAAAAATTTTCGAAAGTTATCGTAAGCTATGACTACATAAACCATAATATAGTGCCGCAATTGTACGATGAACGTGAGTACAATCAAACATTGCGACTCGAAAGCGTGATTTTTCCACTGATGTTGGCAGTGGCTCGTAAAACGTAGTGGTTACTGTTTATTTAATAGTCTTTTGTGGTTCGGGCTAAAACTTTTACCCAAGCGACGTTATCCAGATATTTTAACTTATTTTATGTATTTTATATAAAAGACTAGCACAATGCTCAGTAGAACTACCTTTTATCAGTTAGATTAGAAAACTTACAAATTTCCCAGCAGTTGTAAGACTTGGCAGCGAGACTGTGTGTGTGTGCGCGCGCGCATGTGTGCGTGCGTGTGTTTGTGTGCGCGCGCGCGCGCGCGTGTGTGTGTGTGTGTGTACGTGTGCGTTCATGTGTCCGCGTATGCGTGTGCGTGCTACTTGGAATAATTAATATAACGTTTCTTTTCAATAACAATTTAATACACAACCACTAACAAAATGGAAATATGTGATTTACATAAACCGTAAATCCTAGTTACTTCCTAACGAGATAGATTACAACAATGTAAATTTTATAAAGAAAGGACGACGAAGTTTTAGCACACGTGCCATGGTAAAGTGTATGTGTCAAGTTTTCATTAATCTTTTTCCATTAAATATTTTATGAAAATCCTTTTGGCACGTAAATGTCTCAAAAAGTTTGCCATCCCTCTAACAATCAACTTCAAAATTTTCAGAGATTAATTCCTTAGAATATGAATATATTTACTAACACTCGTATAGTAATTGCTATAATAATTACAAGAATGTTGCGACATTACATTGTGTTTAAATCTACAAATTTAGAAGGCAACCAGATATGTGGTCCATCAATCTTTTATTTATAGTTATAAAATGTATTAGGCGACGTTTTTTAGTGTTAATAAATGTTTTACAGGAAGTGAAGTGGTGTAGCCACAAACAATCCTAAACGTTACGTGTAGATCGTATGTGTCGATGTTGCTACAGTCTAAAATGACGAATTTAGAATAAAATGTAATCTCAAGAATTATGAAATTTCGTAGGGCTATTTATTAGTTCAATTTGATAATAATAAAGAGGAATGGCAGAAAAATTGTTGACAAAAATTATCGCGTCTAGAAATAAGTTATATATAAAATGAGTTATATTATTTTTCTATGATTTTTCAAATAAAAATGTATTTTAATTAAAGCCACAGGAAAAAACAAACATTTTTGGGAATATCAAATGACTTAAATCATTTTTTTTTTGGAGTTTATGGCCTGGTATCTAGACCTTTAGGCCAAGTCTTAAGTATTTTTATTCGGTTTATTGTAATTTCCCCACTCCTTCATAGTATACTGCGTCACAATATGTTGATGCGTCACATTGTGCAGTTCTTGGGAGATTTTGGCAGCAACTTGATCCAGCAGACAGCTGACAGTTGGCGATGGTATCTAAAGGTGCCTATGCAAACAAACAGCTTATCTTGAGAATCCATCACCATCAGAGCACTTGTTTCACTGTTTCCACTAATAGTTCACATGCGTAGACACTTAATACACAAAATCGCAACACTTACATATCAAAGTCCACTTCAAACCATTATTTAAACAATAATACAGGAGCAGCAAACCGCCGCCGGTCAATTTCCCGCCAAAACTCACTTAAATCATTTTTTTTTGGAGTTTATGGCCTGGCATCTAGACCTTTAGGCCAACTTAAATCATTTTACTCTGTTCAAGTGTTGCCATTTAGTATATTCATACTATTTTCGGATATACTTTGTAAGACTACCAACACAACACACAAAATATTTTTATATTAAGTTATTATTAGTAATAACTGTACTATCAGTAATAATAAAAATAAAAGAGATATGGCTGAGAATAAGTCTCTTACAAAGAATTTCCTACAATAATACATTATCTCAGTCATAGTACTATGTAACGATTCCATTTAATGTTATGCCAACACTAGCTAAAACAAAATGTCACTGTTTTTTTTACTGGCTTTACGGCTCTGGGTTCTAGCCCTTCTGAGAATGTCACTATGATACAAAGGCCCTGGAGCCATGCCATAAATATACATTTATAGTATGCAAATATATAATAGAGATACAATAATCTAAAAACTCTCAATTATGTATTATTATTAAACTAACATCAAACAATCACAGGAAGCATGACTTTTTCCAAGTGACATAGGACATAACCTAAAAAGGTTCAAATGTAAATATCTTTTCTTTTTTTTTACGCCTTCTCAGGACTAAATTCTTTGACAGAGTTATTAAGGGACAGACGCTTAACATTTTAAGATATTTTTGATATATAGACGCTACCATTTCTTCTCAACTAATTTTATGTATGAAAGTCTGCCATTGCTCTTTGTTAATAATAAAAGTAATTACTAACACAGTACATGTAAAAAACGCGTTTCGGTCGTGCCTTTTTTCTGTAAGTATCGTTTATTAATAAATGATTGATATTCCTTCATAACATATCCCTTATAATTGAAATTTATAAAATTATGATGTGCAAATGCAATAACTTTCACATAATTCGACTATAAAATGTTTAAAAATACTGGTATATTGTCGAAAGTTTCAGAGGAATGTAAAATTCAAAAATTATCTAAAAATAAAATACCTTTTGTATTATCAGACCTACATTTAAATGGAATTATGATTTACTATTTAACATCTATTGAGAAGTATCCAAAATGGTAACTCTAGTAACAATTTTGGCACCATGAAATCAAAGTATACTAAATTTCTCTATTAAGAAAATAAATATTGTGTTTTCATCAAATTTTAAAGACCCACCACTGCAAATCATTATCAATTCAATTTCACATTTCCATGTCACATCAGTATTAAGCTATAGTCAATTCGGCTAATTGTTCTACTTACAGTTAGTAAAATACAACAACAACAACGTGGAACACGCCTGTTAAAAATAAAGATTTTCATATAAATTATTACAGATTATAACGAATTCATAATTCATTAAAAAACTAATTTAATGGTAACCTTCATAATGCGATATATATATACATATATTCTTAGAGAATAAAAATGTATATAATATATAAAATAATATATACCAAATGCTTACAAATACATCGCGACCTATTTAAGCATATTAAATATATCAAGCACATAAAAACTTTCTATAGAAAACCATACACATTTTAATAATTTTGGTTATTGAAGTACTTGTATTACAAGTATTATATAGGCCAATAAAACAGATAAATATCATCACCAATCTATATCTATATCAAATCTAAAAATGAGAAGCAACACAATAAATAAATAATTCGCTAAGCGCCCACTTTAATTCGTACATTTTTACAAACATTGATCATAACTCTAGAACTACTAAAACGCCTCTAAAATCTAAGACTACAAAACAATTTTTTATCTTGTACTAGAAAACATGTATTTTATTTGTCTGCTCCTTACAGCATTAATGAGATTATTTTGTAATAACTTATCATTTTCCATTAAGTTTAGTAAACTTTGATGGGAAATATAAAAAGATATGCAAAATTTTTCCAAAGGAACAGCAATCAATATTCGGTTTGTGTCAGATAACAATTTATGAACCGGATTTAATAGTACCAAAATTAATTCTAAGTTGTTCTAGGAACACGAAGGTGAGAACAGTGTGAGGCGCGAGTCTCGCGAACGCTGGAATGTAGCCTTTGAAAAATGCAAATAGACCTTCCTTCGCAGTTGCCCCGACAAGTACCAGAATGTTCTTGACCTCGCCTGGCTTTGCATTCATAGCTCTCGTTTTCAGGACATCGACCGGTTGCGTCAACGTAGTTGCGATCGCGCCCTGGGTAGTACGCAAATTTATATTATATTATCAGTGTGTCCGGAAACATGTGTGGCTTTTCAAATAGTTATAAATGTATTTTTTTTCTGATTTACTTACCTTTAACCAGCGTGTAGTGGCTGAGTAAGAATATCTACTACTCAATATCGTCCCGTAAATGTCGTAAGAGGCGAAAGAGGAAAACTTGAAACGAGGTGGGTAACATCTTTCTAATAACATACATACATACATACATATAATCACGCCTCTTTCCCGTAGGGGTAGGCAGAGACCAGTTCTTTCCACTTGCTACGATCCTTACATACTTGTTTTGCTTCGTCCACTTTCATTATTCCCTTCATACATGCTCTACGGTTTAGGGTACTCTTGACCTGGCCTTTTTTCAAGACGTCCCTGATTTGGTCTAGAAATGTCCGCCTAGGTCTACCCCTTCCAACACTTTCATTCACACTCGCCTTATACACTTTTTTCGTCAATCGTTCTTCATTCATTCTCTCGACATGGCCAAACCATCTCAGCATACCTTTCTCAATTTTTGTCACTACATCTTCTTTCAGACCACAACGTTTCCTTATCTCACTATTTCTTAGCCTGTCACTCAGTTTAACTCCTATCATACTTCTTAATGCTCTCATCTCAACTGCATTTATTCTGCTTTCATGTTTCTTCTGCCATACCCAAGTTTCACTTCCGTACATGAGTGTCGGAACCAACACCCCCTCATGCACAGCCAAACGAGCCTTGTTAGACACCTTCCGACTGCTCATAAAGGAGTGCAAAGCTCCATTCACCATGTTTCCTGCATTCACTCTTCTTTCGATATCACTCTCACACTTTCCATCTCTTGTAAACTTTGAACCCAGATACACAAACTCTTTCACCTGTTCAATTTGTTCATCTTCAATCACAATGTTGCAGTCTGTCACTGCCTCATCTTTTTCAAACACCATCACTTTCGTCTTCCTTACATTCATCTTCATTCCCTTTCTAACAAAAGCTCCACTCATAGCAGTTACCATCTCCTGCAACTCCTCGGCCGAAGACGCAAGTAATACTTGGTCATCAGCATAGAGAAAACATTTGACGAGTAACTCATTCATTCTCAACCCACTTTCATTCTCTTTTAAATCTGTCAAACAATTGTCCATGAACAGATTAAACAGCCACGGTGACGCTACACATCCCTGTCTAACACCTTATTCGATATTAAACCATTCAGTGTATGCCCCGTTTATCCTTACACAAGCACTAGAATCCCTATAAAGAGATTGCATTGCTCGTATAAGGATACTGCTCACACCGTTCACGGACAGTGCTGACCACAATTCATTCCTCACCACTCTATCATAGGCCTTTTCTAGATCTACGAACGCGCAGTAGACTTTCTTGTTTTTAGCCAAACACTTTTCGGCTATGCACCGCAAGGAAAAGACCTGATCCGTACATCCCATTCCCTTTCTAAATCCCGCTTGTGCATCCCATACTTTCTTGTCTGTTTCATTCACAATCCTTTCAATCAACACTTTCGCATACAATTTACCGACGACGCTGAGAAGGCTTATACCGCGGTAATTTATGCAGTCCTGCCGTGCAGTTCTGATAACAGCTCTAAATAATAAAAAAACTGCGGTTGCCAACCCACCTTCCAAGCGACTATGGTAAAATTCTAAAATTCGATAGAGGAGGCCTTTGTTCTGCAGTTTAGTTTCATAGGTATAACAGATGGAATGGATGGATGAAATAAGAGAAGGCTAATATTAAAAAAATAATATGTGGCATATCCATTTTCTTAATAAGCTGTTACTTAATACAAAATTTCGTTATTAAAAATAGTTTTAGTATATCAAAATATAATGAATAGAAATGGTGTTCATACACGACTATGGCGTATTTTATATTTAAGTATCATACCTTTCGGTACCCACGGACGAGATAACCAAAACAATGAAACCCGTAACTAAGTTAGTAAGGACACATGTCCACCGTATACCTGTACGACTGGTATCTCGTACATCGATATACTATAAGTGTTCGAGCCACTTTGTACTACCGCCTAACGCTTATGAGATTCGTAAATTATTATCCAATAAGAGTACTGCAAAGCCCATTTCCGGGTTTACTATCTACCGCCTTTTATACATTTGATTGATATGATGGAGTGATGGACCTTGCTTATAGAAAATTCTTCCTACACGCGAGAGGCTCATGCTCAGCAGTGGCCTTCAGCAGCGAAATGACGAAGAAGAAAATAATTATTTATAATAAAACTCACAGCTAATAAACTGGACGTAATATGTGTAAAAACATTGTCCTCTAAGCGTTTGGTTGCCAAAAGAAGTTCTTTGATTTTGTCATAGAAGGAGAGCTGACCAATGGTCATGAGTACAGCTCTGCTGCAGGTCATTGATGCGCCGGCCCATAAGCGCATTACTCCTTCCTCTGTCGCCACTCGCCAAATACCATGTATAGCATTCTTGTAGCTGTAACAAATAAATGTATTTGAGATCTAATTAGGGGAAATAGTATCTTTTCCATCTCACACTCCCACAGTACAGCCCCACTGTTCATCAACTCTCAGAATCACACTCGCAAAGAATACGAGTTTACCGTAGACTTTTTTGAATTGAAACAAGGCATACTATCTTACGCCTCAAGGGGTGCCGCCAACAAATCTGCATTTTATTTAAAAACGGAGATAAATGTGGACTGCGTCTAGATTGTCACCCTTGAATTGATGAAAAAGATGCACCCTGTTGATTTTTCTAATTCTTTCATAATATGTATTAGAAACAAAAGAGCATGAAGGGGAGTATTTTTGCATAGATAGCTTGTTAACTGTTAATTGCATAATCTCCTGACGTAAGCCTAAGCAGGCTTATTTTTCATGTAATATAATTATATATGTATGTACAGTCATAATGCATGTATGATTGTATATACTTGTACTATGAATGTATATATATATACGAGTGTGGATTGAAAAGTACTCGGCCTAACACAGATCCATTCAATTCTAAAAATCAAATCTACCCACATTATTTAGTTCAGTTCAGACTAGTTCATTGTGTGAAGTTCGAAACGTGTGCGATAATTAGTTGTGATTTTATAAATTTATTAACAAAGTAATCGGACATAATTTCCGCGAATGGAGCAAATCGAGCAGCGTGCCGTCATTAAGTACCTCCATAAGAAGGGGCTATCATCAAAAGCCATCCATGATGACATGGTCAGTACATTAGGCGATTGTGCTCTGTCATATTCATCCGTCAAAAAATGGATAGCAGAATTTAAGCGTGGTAGAGAGAGTGTGAAAGATGAACCCCGCTCTGGAAGGCCTTCGACGTCAACTACTGACGAAAATATTAAAAAAGTACTTGATTTAATAATGGGAGACCGCAGATTAAAAATTAGAGAGATAGCCGAGATTATAGGCATCTCTTATGAACGAACTCAAAACATCATTGTCAACGAGTTAGGTTTCCACAAGGTGTCTGCGAGGTGGGTTCCGCGACTGCTTTCAGTTGAACAAAAAAGGACGCGATTGACTATTTCACGCGACTGTTTGGAGTTATTTGAAGCCGATGCAGATGATTTTTTGAATCGTTTTGTTACTATGGACGAAACATGGGTTCATTACTGTACACCGGAAACAAAACAACAATCAAAACAGTGGAGAAGACCTGGTTCACCACCCCCTAAAAAGGCTAAGTCGATTTTGTCGGCAAATAAGGTGATGGCTTCAGTATTCTGGGACTCGAAAGGTGTGATTATGATTGATTATCTTGAAAGGGGTCAGAATATAAACTCTGATTACTACTGCACCTTACTACGTCGTTTACGAGAGGAAATAAAAGAAAAACGTCGAGGAATGCTCCGAAGAAAAGTCCTGTTTCATCAAGATAACGCCCGTGTTCACACGTCAGTACAGTCAATGGCTGAAATTCACAACTGTGGCTTTGAACTGTTACCGCATCCGCCGTATTCACTTGATCTGGCACCATCAGACTTCTTTCTGTTCCCTAACCTAAAAAAGCACTTGGGAGGTCAAAGATTTTCGACAAACGACGAGGTCAAAGCAGCTGTAGACGCATATTTTGACTCTAAGGAAGAATCATTTTTTTTCAACGGTCTAAATGCTTGGAAGGGGAGGTGGCAAAAGTGTATTGAACTTGATGGTGATTATGTAGAAAAATAAAAATATAACTGATTTAGTATTTGTTTATTTTCTTGGTTAGGCCGAGTACTTTTCAATCCACCCTCGTATAATAGGTCGGGGAAAAAATTTCTTTGTATTTTGTTTGTATAAAATTGAAGAAAAATAGTTTTAATATCATTAAGAAAAAGAAAAATAAAAGTAAAAACCACTTTTCAATGGTTTTTCTGGCCGCCAAAATGAGTAAATTTAACGAAGAAATTCGATACATTTTGATGTTTTATTACAAAAAAGGGGAAAATGCGACTCAAGCCGCGAAAAAAAATTGTGACGTTTATGGACCTAATGCATTGTCAGTAAGAGTAGCACAAAGTTAGTTCAAGCATTTTCAGTCCGTGAATTTAGATGTCAAAGATGCAGCTCGCTCTGGTCGCCCTGACACGGATAAAGTCGATGCCATTTTCGAAAAAGTGGAGCAAGTCGCCATATTAATAGTTACGACATAGCCGAGGAATTGAGGATTGACCACAAAACAGTTTTGACCCATTTGAAAGTCTGGCTATACAAAAAAGCTCGATATTTGGGTACCACACGAGCTCACTGAAGGAAACCTTTTGTATCGTGTACGCATTTGCGATTTTCTATTGAAACGTAATGAAACCGAAACATTTTTAAAAGATTGATCACTGGTGATGAACAGTGGATCACCTACGACAAGAACGTGTGAAAAAGATCATGGTCCAAGGATAGTCAAACTCCACAGACTGTAGCGGAACCCGGATTAACACGCAATAAGGTAATGTGTATGGTGGGATTGGAAAGGCATCGTTTATTATGAGCCTTTACAGCCGGGCAAAACCATCGATTCGGATCTCTACTGCCTACAACTAATGAAACTCAAGCAAGAAATTGAAAAAACGGCCTGAATTGATCAACAGAAAAAAAGTGGTATTTCATCACGATAACGCTTAGACCACACACATCTTTGGCCCGTCGGCAAAAATTGAGAGCTTGGTTGGGAAGTATTAATGCATCCACCATATAGTCCTGACCTTGCACCCTCAGATTTTCCCTTGTTTTGGTATCTTCAGAACTCTGGGTAGTGTTAGGTTAACATCAAGAGAGGACTGTCAAAACTACTTGTCAATTTTTTTTAAATCAAAATCCTAAGATTTCTACAGCAACGGAGTCACCGCACAAAAAGGCACATATACTCGTATATTACAATGAAATGTAATTAAACTTTGAAAAAAATGTCTTAAATTTGTATATAACATACGAAGCTACTTAGACTGATATATATTAGTCTATAAAATACCGGTTTTTAAGCGAAGGGTTCCGTCACTCTAGCGGAGCGTCATATCGTTGGTATCGAGGTGGAATTGAGAGTATATTACGAAACCTCCACTCGTTTGTGCAATATAAAGTTCACTTTAGGCGCCGTGTGCGAGAGATTCCGCTTAAGTCATTCTACGAGTGCTTAGGTTCTAGATAAGACAGTATCGTTGTTCTGTTTATTGTAGTAATTCCTCTGGTGCAGGCAAGGAGGATGGTGTTGCTGAGAGGTTACCCTGTGTTACGTTGAGATGGGTGTGTTACTGTTGGTTTGCATACTTTGGTGTTATCATGTAATTACGTACCCCACGTAACACCAGTGTGTAATTGTGGCGGGGACGTATTACGGTTTGGTCGAACTATAATTGCTCTATACTGAATGTATAGAGCGTTACGCTGTCTTATCTATACAAGAGAGCAAGTTGATTGTTTGCTGTCACACTTTTCCTATTTTTTTTTACTAATTTTTATGTTACTACTTTTTAATTTTTAACAATTAATGCTATCCTGGTGTACTTCCGAGATCAGAAGTGGGATCTTCTGCTGAATTTCCAAGATATATATAATTATCGCTTTACCGGCACAAATATATGGAGCAAATAAATATGTATAACTGCCGAGTAGAAATTTTCAACACATTACTGAATATAGATATGCACGGAGAAATAAATTCGCGCAAATATTTGACTCAAATAACGATTTGACATACGAAATGTTCTCTCTGTTAACTTAACACAAGATTTTTTTTTCCGTGTATAATTAACTATATATACTGAATCAAGACATAAGTGGACTTTTTGATATATGTGATCACTTAATAGAAGAACATTTGAATGACCTCTCTAATAATGCAAAAATGTTAGTATTTTATGTTTCACCAAACAACATCATACAGAGCGACGTGAACCTTCTAAATATATCAAAGAGATATAAACACATAGGTAAACTGACGCAAAAAGCTCAAAACAGTTATTTCATAGAGACACGTCATAATAAAACAAAAGCTGCGAGGAAAATGATAAATGCAATGAAGCCAAATATACCTACCGAAAACATTAAGAGAATAAAAATTCAAGGACAGTGACAAATCCGAAATTGATAGCGGAATATTTTTATTATTATTATTCAAATCAAATACAGACTAATAAGGAAAAATGGACTAATAATTAAAGAAGTGGCCTTTAAAAGCCTCTACACTAAGTAATAATATAAATAATTGCATCCAAAGTCGAACATTTCCAGAAAATTAGAAAATTGCAATCATCAAGCCTTTGTATAAAAAAGATGATAGAACAAATGTTACTTATTATAGACCGGTGGCGTTACCATAGATTTCCTCTAAAATCTTCGAAATAGTTATTTAAGAAAATATACCGGAATATGGATAGTAGGAAACCAGCTGTGGCAATGTATAATATAGACATGACTAATGCCTTCGATTATGTACACCATAATGAACTACTAAACTTTATATATCCATAGTTAAACTAAACGTACTAGAACTAATGAAATATTATCTAACAACAAATAAAAATTACCCGAATAGACATCAAGTTGAAAATTAAAAAAAAATATACTCTTCCAGTACCCAATTGATTAAATACGGATTTCCTCAGGGTGAGGTTTTTGACCCGCTCCTTTTTATCATTTATATAAATGACTTTCCAAATTGTACAAATCACCAAATATCGTTATTTGCCAATGACAGTACTGTAAGTTATAATAGTAGTAATTATGATTACATTCAAAGTGAAATTTATAATAATCTTAAATTCATTATTATTGACTGGTTGAAGGAACAACCTAAAATTATCTGGACAACCCTCAAATAATGACCTATCAAATAAGACAAAAAACCTCAATGAATCTACACATTAAATGTATGGAATACATAAGAGAAACAAAGGTTATAAAAAACTCAAATTGACGTAGTTGTAACCACCAATTGCACCAATTTGCAAACGTCCATTAAAGTAAAATTGCAAACCAGAC